GGGCTCGGGGAAGCCGGCGGGGGCGGGGCGGGCGGGGCGGCCGGGACGCGACGTCTGACCTTACAGACGTGCACTGTTGTACAGTTACGGATTTCAATATGCAGAGCGTCAGTCCGGTCTTCCAAGTCGACATACGTGTACTGAGCGCACGTATTTTACATGGAATATTTACAGAGAACCAAAGCAGCTGCGGAGATAAGGCGGGTCGTTGGGGCAACACCCGGTTTCCGACCGGAGGGACTAAGTCTGGGACTCCATCTTCTGCCCCCTGGGATGCTGCACTTTCACCCACTGGCCCGCTGGGTGTTGTTCTAACACTGGCTTTTCAAATGGTCTTTGGCCATGTGCGCTCAATCGTGAAAAAGTCCTGTGGATCAGAAGTAAGGGAGGGCTGTAAGTAGTTTCTTTCCATATCTTATGTTGACATTTTTGTTTCACCCTGATTAGGATGCATTTGTTAGAAACGTACCTCCCTCCAAGTGCAAAGTCCTAACTGCTACGGGCTTGTCCTAAACTGCAGAGCTCAGGTTAACGTGGAAGCTCCTAGCAGGAGAGGGAGCAGGAAATGGGAGTCTTTCATTTTGTACTTATAAAATACATGACTATTCTTTTTTTTTTTTTTTTTGCTATTGGGCGCGTGCGCTCGCCAGACAGAGAGAGACAGAGAGACAGAAAGCGAGAAATCACCCCCCAGCGGGGATGGTCACGGTGACGCCGCAGTCCCTTCTCCTCCATTCTCTTGTGATCTTGGGCACGCACGCACACGCGCCTGGGGTGAGTTTGTTTTTTTTTTTTGCTATTGGGCGCGTGCGCTCGCCAGACAGAGAGAGACAGAGAGACAGAAAGCGAGAAATCACCCCCCAGCGGGGATGGTCACGGTGACGCCGCAGTCCCTTCTCCTCCATTCTCCTCTTGGGATCTTGGACACATGCACCCTCTCGCCCAGCATGAGTTTAAGCCACCAGGTCCGGGACTCGAACCGCGGTGGACTACGTGGGACTCCAGCAACATAGCCATTACGCTAACTGCTGGTCCTTGACTTTTTTTTTGGAGAAATTTTTTAAAGAATTATTTATTTATTTATTTAATTCTATTTGTTATTATTTTTAATGTGACCAGAGAGAAATAGAGAAAGAAAGGGGAAGTGATAAAGCAAGCCGCCAGGTCCAGGACTTGAACCAGGGTCAGCCACATGGGAGTCTAGCGCCTTTAACCACCATGTCCACGCAGCAATCCCTCCTCCTCCATCCTCCTCTCGGGTTCTTGGGCACACATGCACATGTACCTGGAGTGAGTGAGTTTAAGACACCAGGTTCGAGACTGGAACCGCGGTCGACTGCATGGGAGTCCAGCGACATAGCCATTATGCTAACTGCTGGTCCCATAGCTATTCATTTTTAATGAGCTGTCTTTTAAATTTCTGGTGTCTCATACTTGTTTTCCAGAGTTCACTTATAGAAATTGCCATGCTGGCAGGGTGGCATGGTGGAAAGAATCTTGGTAAGTGAATTAGGGGAGCAGGTTTCTACTCTTGATTCTAACCATGTGTCCTTTGAGTTGCAGTCTTTCTGTCTGCAAAGCAGGAACAATTGCAGGTATTGTCCTTACTGCACAGGGGTTGTGGAGGAGACAAAAGGAGAGACTATACATGTAGAACCTGATGCAGCAATAAGTTACATGAATATGAGGTAATGTTATAACAATCTAACAACAAGGAGGCCTCCAAATGTAACAATGTGGTGAAAGAACTTGGTAGGTCTAGCTTCATATCTTAGCTCTGCTACTAACTTGCTGCGGGACTTGGAATCAAATTCCTTGACCTTTCTTTTTTCTTTCTTCTTTTTAAGTTTATTTTTTTTCCATGAGAGACATTGAAAGAGAGGCGGGGTGGGGGAGAAAAAGGAAGGCAACCCAACAAACTCCCCATGCCACAATCCACCTCCAGTCTCAGCCAGCCTGGATCCCAGGCACATATGCACACACCCTCCATGCCCAGGGAGGTCCTGGGGTCTTTCCCGTGTGGGGATAGATCTGTGGCCTCTACAACATTCATGGTCTGTCTACTGTTTGGCTCCTCTTTCTTTTTTTGTAAAAAAAAAAAACAACTTAATTGTGGGTGTTCATGTAAGAGAATGAGAAAGAGAAAGTGCCTCTCCCAGTGGGGTTCTACTTATATGCCTTCCTTTGGTCACCTCAGTCTTAAGACAGGCAAAAACTGAAAAACCTTTATTTTGATAGAAACATCTACTTAATTTCAGGGAATATCCTTCGTTTTGAGTAAGGTGAAATTGATATTTTAAAAAAAAAGCAAAGGGAGAACATTTCTTTAAATATATTGTATAAGACTGGGGTTAGGGTTGGCCTAAGCCCTGTGCTTGGGGATCTGGAGCCCACAGTTCAAATCCTGGCTCTGGAGACTTGAAAACACACTGGATGTGTGTCCCAAATCCTGCGGGATGGAGAAATGGAGGAAAAAGGATTGTGGCATGACCATCTTCCCTTCGGAGAGTGACTTCTCTCTTTCTCTTTCTGGCAAGTGCATGTGCTCTCTGGCAATAAAAAAAGAAAAGAAAAGACTATGAGGTTACAAATAATCTTTTCTCTTTTAAAAACTATGAAAGGTCATCAGAGATAAATGCCTGAGAGGAAGTTTCTCTTTTAGAGTAGGTCAATGTGAAGTAAATTCAGCTCACTTTCCAAGGGTTGCACAATGGGCTCGTAAGAGACATTGTCACCAACATTCCTATCTTTTGGAGAGCCTTTAGACTTGCTTAGTCAATAATGTAAATAAGCTAAATCGACCGTTCTGAAGGATGAAAGTATGTGTGGATGTGTGTTGTTATGAGAGGTATCTTACACAGTCCCCCACATGGTAATGCTCAATTCATATTTGTTATCTTTAATACCTTTTTAAGGTTTTGCCATAGGGCACATGTGCTTGCCAGAGAGAGACTGTGAGAGGGCAAGATGAGAAATCTTCCCCCAGGAGAATTGCTACACCACAATTCCTTCTCCTCTATTTCCTCCTGGAATTTTGGGCACACGCACGCACACCCAGTGTGAGTTTTTCAAGCTGCCAGGTTTGGTACACCAACCATGGTTGAGTAGGAGTCCAGTGCCTCAACCACTATGCCACCTACTGAACCCTGATGACTTTAATTTTAAGATCACTTCCACTCTATTTGACAATAATGGCTACAGTTTGCTGAGCACTTACTTTGTAACACATAAGAGCTTTACATATGCTCATCACTGATCTTTGAGGTGTTCTCATAGTAACCTTGTTTAGGCGAAGACCAGAGCCTTACAGACATTAAATAAATTGTCCAAAGTGGAACAGCTGCCAGGTGACTCCAGAGCCAAAATTCAAACCAGGCCTCCAGGACTCCAAAGCCCATGCCTTTGGCCCAGTGGTAGCACAGTGCTCTGCAGTACTGGAAGCCATGTGGATGACTGGGGTTGGGTTCCTGAGTTGGCCGGCACATACATGTGCAGGTGCTTCTGGCTGGCAAGGAAAAACTAGGGGAGGATTTTAGCATGAGACCCTGTTGAAGGTGTTATCTCTGTTTCATGAAAGAAAGAAAGGGAGAAAAAACACTTAATTTCTATGCCACTTGATTTTTTCCATAAATTCGCAAGGAAGTATCTACTGCATAATGCATGGTGTATATTGGGTTGTCAGAAAAGTCATGATGTTATTATTTTTTTCAACTTTTTTTTAATGATCAGTTATTTAATTAGGTTCTTGGCAAAAAAAATTTAAAACACCAATTTTTGAGGATAAACTCCATTTGTAAGGGCAAACACGGATCACAGGTAGCCCTGGAGCTGAGGAACAGCTTTGATTTTTTGTAAAATTTGCGAGTCCACAGCTTTCTGATCAGTCTTGTACTGCTCTGAAATCTCGAATTTCTCCTTCTCTGTGTCGAAGATCTCACCTTCCTGGTGTCTGGGCTTTTGTAGTTTCTTTTTCTTGAAGTAGCATCGGTAAGGTGCTTTGGGATTTTTACTTTGCTAATATCGATTTCCGTGGAGGTGGCAATGACAAATTTCTGGTGTGTTCTACGCAGTGGAACTCGATTGAGAACCAGCGGTCCCGTCACAAGTAGCAAGCCACTGCTCAGCTGCTTCAGGAAACCACTCTCTTGCCTCTGTGGCGTCCAGTGAGGATGATCAGAATGGTCCCAGGAGTGATGCTAACTCGCAGTTTTCTCACATGCTGACTGAAGGGTTTTTTGCTGTGGCTCAACAGCTTTCGAGGCACATCTTCAGTAGGATCATACCTAGGCATTTTGCGCAGTTTAACCACCCGGGTACCACCATTCTT